CACACACACACACACACACACACACACACACACACACACACACACACGCACACACGATTCTGTTCAAAAGTCATATTCCTACACAGAGCTGTCTCAATTCTAGTTACATTTGCCCACTTCCCACACCCATCACTCTTCATCTTTATTGCCCTGCTTTCTTCTTCACAGAGCACATGCTACCTCTAATTATATTATTTACTTATTTTTCTCTTATCATCTGTTCTTTCTCACCAGGATATAACCATCATCAAGTCATATTTTCTGTTTCCTTACTTCTGTGTCTTAGTCTCTAGTCCCAAGAACAGTATAAAAACCGCAAAGAAGGTAGGTGCTCAATAGATAACTTCTAAATAAGTGACGTCACTGGGGATTCCTAAGAAGAGGCTTAATGCAGGTAGCATTGGTCTCCACCATACCCTAGAGGGATATCTCGGGAGCTTCCAGGAACTCTGAATCTCTGGTCCCTGAGATGAGATATGTCCAGGGCTCTTGGGGGAGGATGGTGGAAATGTTTGAAAAGCCACCTGATAACTCAATGTTCTTGCCATCTTTCATCAGCTGGAGGTAAGCTGTTTAGAAAAAGAGTTTCTATCGTAATGGATTCTGTCCCTGTCTCCCTCTCCTTTTTTCCCCCCTCTTTCTCTGAATTGGCCAATAAAAATGACAACAGTCAGGGTTCTTATTTCTCTCATCACATAGTAAAACTCTTTATGGTTCCATACCAGATACACTTAAAAAAAGACTTCAGCTAAGCGGTGGTGGCGCACGCCTTTAATTCCAGCACTTGAGAGGTAGAAGCAAGTGAATCTCTGTGATTTTGAGGTCAGCCTGGTCTACAAAGGGAGTTCCAGGACAGCCAAGGAGAAGCCAAGGAGGAAAAAAAAAAGAAAAAAAAAAAAAAAAAGAAAGAAAGAAAAATTTCTTGCTCTCAACTGGTAGGTGACATGTTTTCCCCTATAGATACAAGTCCATGTATGTAAAGCTGAAACCCAGAAGGTGACAGCTTTGGGGACGTGGCCGTGGCAAGTCCATGTGGACCAGTGGGTAAGTGTACACAGCCTGCAGCCTATGGCCGGAGTCAGGATGGGGGTTTTGTGTTTATCTGTAAAGTGAGGATACCAGCGCCTTCCTTGTCAGTTTGCTATGGAGAATAAATGATTTAGCTGATAAAAAGTACTTAGAATAGTGCCAGGCATCCAGTGAACACCAGTCACAGTTATTCTCAGTACTCGAAACAACATCAGACATGTAGTTCGTGTTAGCTGCTATTCTTCACCTTTTCTTACTAGCTTTTGTTGAGCTGGCATAGCTATTAAGAGAATGCTCCGTTTGTTCTATGTAAACTATGTGTGAGTTTGTATAAGGACACAGAAAAGCTGCTCTCAAGGAAGCTAGAGGTTCATACGTATTACAAAGCTGGGGTGCCTGACATGTCCACAGATGACTCACGAGGGAATGAGGTGGAAGGAAGGGATGTGTTGACCAAGCACACAGTGCAACAGCCGTCTGGATCTTGTTTTTTTTTAATCATACTGTATCTGTAATTATTTAAATCGAGTATTGCTATTTATTAAAGAGAATAAAATCCACAAAATGGGAAAAATACGGCTTGTAACTTAAAATCTGAATTCTATTGACAATGTGGAAAGAAATCTCTTGTATTGCTTATTTGCTTTATGTAACAAATGTTTTGCTGTTAATACATCCTTTTTATAAATATAGTCTCAAAAATTATATTGCATGGGCTAAATCTAGTATTCTGTTAAAAATTTCTCATTATTTATTAAAATGAAGTTGTCTTTATTAAAATGAAGTTGTTTCAGATTCATTTTGAATAAATTTGATTAAAATGTTAATTTTTGGTTTGGGATATCTTTAACCCACACCCAGTGAAAGGTGGTATCATGAACACTTATGTGAGCATTGTGTAGCTTGGAAATTGTCAATATTTTGACAAAATAGAACATTTCAAGGTATTATTAAATTGCTTTTTAAAAAAGAAATAATGGAAACAAAGTTTGTTTGAAATTTGTCACAATGAAACATATTTCTTTATGAGCTAATAAATTAAATAATAAAACAACTTTTTTCCTGAAGCTTTGATCCCTCTGCTTCTCTAGCAAGTAGCCTGTAAGTATTAATTTCTCTACCTAGTCCCAAGCATGGAGAGTCACTATTTATTTATTAATATTGGGCCTATGATGCTGAGGTGAGTGAAAGGGTGAGCTCTGCACAAGGAAGCTGGAAATTCTTTGTAAGGTAGATGCAATCAGAAGGTGGATAAGGGAAATGGGAAAGAACATGAAGCAACCTTAAGGTTGATATTTGGCACAATGTAACTATGAAAACCAGATTGTTGAGGAGTTAAGAAAAAAAATACCAGAATTATAAGTAACTATAAATACTCAGGTAACAATGTGGCCTACTTAATTTCTCTGGGTTTGCAGAATGGGTGAAGGGCAGGCTTGTGTAGCTTGCCTTCTAAGCTTGGTGTGGGACTCTGCATACTTAGAGCTCTGTACTTTTATGCTCTTTTTCTGGTGAACGTGCAGTCATAGAAACAAAGAGGCATGAGGCTGGTGAGAAAGCTTTGCTCCAAAGGAAGAGGGATGATGATCAGCATGGAAATCACAAGGAAACATATAGCAAGAACCTCATGCCTTCCTGGCATTAATGGATCTCTGTGCTTGTAGACATGGGGTCTCATTTAATTTTCACCAGCACTCTGAGGTAGATGTTATACATTTCTGAGTTTTACAGTGAAAATGCTGAAGTCCATATTTTTCTAAAGTCACAAGGCTAGTGGGGGTTAAAAGCCAAAGGAAAGCAGATTGAATAAGTACCTTGAGACAGTAGACTGTTTTTAACACAGCTCAGTGACATGGGACAGTAACTTTACCCTTGACTTCTTCTTTCCTTGTACTAGGTCTAATGGAGGAGGAAAATCAGACGGGAGTGGTGTATTTCCACTTCCGCCCCTTTTCAACCAACGCCACAGTGGCTTCCCTGGTGTTTGTGGGCTTCTTGCTGCTGTATCTAGGAAGCCTCATTGGAAACCTCACCATCGGGCTCACAGTCTGGCAGGACCACTCTCTCCATACCCCAATGTACTTCTTCCTTTTCGTGTTGGCCACGTTAGAGCTTGGCTATTCCACCAACATTGCTCCATTGACTCTGGCCAGCATCCTCTCCATGGGGAAGATGCTTATCTCTCTGCCCAGCTGTGGCGCCCAGATGTTCTTCTTCATCCTTCTTGGAGGATCTGATTGTGTCCTGCTCGCCATCATGGCTTATGACAGGTATGTGGCCATCTGTCATCCGTTGCATTACGGCCTCATTATGAGCTGGCAGCTGTGTGGGCAGATGACTTTAGGCTCTCTGGGGCTGGGATTCCTGTTGTCACTGCCTTTGACCGTTCTGATCTGCCACCTTCCATTCTGTGGCCACAATGAAATCTACCACTTCTTCTGCGACATGCCTGCCGTCATGCGCCTGGCCTGTACGGATACCCGCATACACCAGGCAGCTCTCTTTGCCATCAGCGTGGCGGCAGTGGCCATTCCCTTTCTGCTTATTTGTCTCTCCTATGGCTGCATCGTGGTTACCATCCTGAGGATGAAGTCAGCAGAGGGGAAGCGCCGGGCCTTCTCCACCTGCTCTTCACACCTCCTGGTGGTGGTCCTGCAGTATGGGTGTTGCACCCTCATCTACCTTCGCCCCAGCTCCAGCTACTCCCCAGAAGAAGGCCGGGCAGTCTCTGTTGTTTATACTTTTTTCTCCCCGTTGCTGAACCCCTTAATCTACAGCATAAGGAACCAAGAGGTAACTGATGCGGTAAAAAGACTTTTGGCAAGAATGTTCTGGCTCAGAAACATTCCTTCCCAGGGAAATTATTCACTGAAGAAGAAGGAGCACAGTCTGATGGGAAGGAAACTCAGAATTAATAAACAGCGAGAACGGATCAGCAGTTGTGCTCATGAACACCTTGGTCTATGAAATGCTTATTACTATTCCCTACTTCTATCAGAATCTCAATGATTAAGTCCTAGATTGTCTCATGCTGCCTTAAGGAGCCTTCTTTTCTACCACAGGACGTAGAATAAGGGCTGGCAGAGAAAAGTCACAGAAGAAAAGAGGAAACGAATGAGTAGAGTGGTGATAGCAGGTGACAGAAGACTGTCATTCTGTCACATTTTAAATGCACTTGTCTGCATTACATACATAAGTGCTCCATTGACTTTTCTTTTCTTTTTTAAAGATTTATTTATTTTTTACGTATATGAGTACTCTCTCTCTGCATGTATACCTTCATGTCAGAAGAAGACATCAGATCCCAGTATAGATGGTTGTAAGCCACCATGTGGTTGCTGGGAATGGAAATCAGAATCTCTGGAAGAGCAGACAGTGGTCTTAACGGCCAAGCCATCTCTCCAGCCCAACTTTTCCTTTAGGCACTTGAAGTCTCCTGAAATCTCACTTCCTGAATACTGTCTTGCTATTATATCTGATAGTGATCATTTTTAAAAACTAAATTGTATTTCTTTGTATAAAATTGAGTTTAATATGTCATGGTATTAACCCTTCAATAAAGCGCATAGGGTTCCTTTGAGACAGAAGAAACCGGTTTTCCTTTGCATTTTTTTTTTTCTTGTACATTGCAAAGGACATAATAAGGGCTCACACATAGGGTCCAGCAAACACAGTTAAGAAAGTTGCAGTAGTGGGGTGATCCAGAACCACACAGTGAACCACTGGAGAATCTGAAGAGACTACCCCAAGTGAAAATAATGCATGGGTCACTGTCACTTCTGAATTCTGCGGAGTCTGACTCTAGAAGAAATGCCAGAAGGTAGATTTTTTTTTCTTACTGAAGCTTTTTTTTTTTTTTTGGTTTTTAATTGATTTTTTAATTTAAATTTATTTTTTATAATTTATTCACTTCACATTCTAATTGTAACCCCTTCTCTCATCTCCTCTCTCCCTCCCTCTTCCCCTCCCCTATTTCTCAGAAAGGGGGAGCCCTCTTCTCCTGCCACCTGACCCCAGCCTATCAAGTCTCATTAGGACTGCTTGCATCCTCTTCCTCTGCGGCCTGGCAATGGCCCCCACCAGGGGAAGTGATCAAAGAGTGGGCAATAAAGTCCATGTCAGAAACAGCCCCTGCTCCCCTTACTAGGGAACCCACGTGGAGGCTGAGCTGCCTATCAGCTACATCTGAGCAGGGGGTCTAGGTCCTCTTCATGCATGGTCCTTGGTGCATCAGTCTCTGCAGGCCACCACGACCCCAGATTTGTTGGCTCTGTTGGTCTTCTTATGGAACACCTGTCTGCTCTGGGTTCTTTTTTTTTTTTTTTTCCATTTTTTTAACTTTTATTAATTACACTTTATTCATTTTGTATCCCCCATAAGCCCCTCCCTCCTTCCCTTTCAGTCCCACCCTTCCCCCATTTCAGCATGCATGCCCCTCCCCAAGTCCACTGATAGGGGAGGTCCTCCTCTCCTTCTTTCTGATCTTAGTCTATCAGTTCTCATCAGAAGTGGCTGCATTGTCAGGGTTCTAGGTTATCACCATGCATAGTGCTTGCTTGGAGTATGAGTCTCTGGGAAGTTCCCTGTGTTCAAATTTTCTTGTTCTGTTGCTCTCCTTGTGGAGTTC